AAACCCAAATAGGGTACAAATTGAATCTTTTGATCAAGAAAACCATACATTTACACACCCAAAAGCAAAATTTAAAATTTATGCTTGGCTTTGTCATTCCCTTGATTTCTTGTTTTTTAAAATTTTTCTATAATTTGTTATTTGCTAATTTTGTACCAAATATATTTTACATATTGCGAAAGGTGTTGATAGTTTACTGTTGCTTTGAAAGGGTTAAAGTTGTGGCTCTGTAATCCTTTGAGCACCATGGTCAACTTTTGGCACCTTCTACAAAATGATCTTGTAGTCTTCTCATCTCCATGTGAAATGGTGATATAAATAGACAAACCTTTTGATCAAAAACTAAAAGAAATACCTGAAACTGTCTGTATGGTCCAAAATGATGATGAAATTTGATAAAAATTTGACAAAAAATGAAAATATTTGCACTGAATTTTAGTCTGGAAAATTTCTGACACTCAAAGTGTTAAATGAATTGTTCGATGCAGCTGAATTCTGCATTTCAACATTCATAATTGATGTTATTTTTATGACAAGGAAGTTTGCTTTACCAATTCTGCAAAATGTCTTGTGACAGAAAGTTTTCAATCATAAAAACAGTTCTGTCTAGATTATCCCAGTTGTGCAGTTATCATTTCAAAAGCAGATAACGAAATATGAATAATTAATTAATTCTATTAATGGAATACTATTTTTGTCTACAAATTCTGGCATTATGATGGTACTTTCACAGAGACAAACAAATGTACAGTGTTTAAATGCATATTTCATGCACATATCACTTTTGAAGGATTCTAATAAATAATAATCTTGGTGAAAATTTCATAGAATATAATGACACATCTGCCACTGTATTGATTATGAATTTTGTTGGCACAGCCATTTTTCTCTCCGTTTTTCAAGGTCAGAAAAAAAACTTACCTGTGTCTATCAGAGCACATTATACTTTACATTAACATCTTTAGAAATGTTTAGAAATCTGATTCCAGATGCTTGACTGGTGGCCATTTTATTAAAAAAATAAAATAAAGCAATTTACCCCTGCTGTTTTGGAACTGGATCTGTGGTGTTTGCAAATGAATTTTGTTAAAACTTGGTACATTAATAGTGCATTATTGGGTATAGATGCATGTTATTTCAGGTTCTATTCAAAATGGCTAACTTGTGGTCATTTATTTTTCAAAACTAATTTTTTGTGTCATGTCTAGGCCATCTCAGGATACTAACGGTACTGAGCATTTGTGAATTGCAATCTAATTCTGGATGGGGCTGGTGACTGTGCTACATGTGCACTTAATTGAAACATTTTCATCAGTCTAATTAATGAACATGGTCATATCATTGACATGTTAGCAATTGACCATTTTTCGTTCACTGCGAGAATCACGCGTTATGCGTGAAATCGAAAGTAAAAACAGGACAAACAAAGGTCATAGCGTTGTAGTGGCGTCAAACATCACATGGGATTTGACAAATGCAAAAGTATTTTGGGAGGATTTTGATTTTGAGTTCAAAATCAAATCGTTCGATTTTTGCTGCAGACGTTTGACGCGCAACTTTCATGCAACTCGCGAGATCTCGCAGTTGAACGAAAAATCACCTATCGCAATTGAACTCTACACATGCATGTAGTATAACTTGGGATTCTTACATATGCATGATATATTCGTTAAGCAATCTGATTTGGGATGGTAAGCTGATTTGTGGCTATTTTGGATGAATTTCCCAAAGTCAAGCATCTCTGCCACTTTACAACCGGATGTCAGACATAGATGCATGCATGCATGGATTGTTTTTCCTAATACTGAATTCAAATAAAAAATGAATGATTAGCAGCCAATTTGTTTTTATAACATTTGTATCTGTTACAGCGAGAATTTATCACAAATGTGAAGACACATTCGCAAGCATTGGTTTTATGATTTGATTCAAGATGGCTGATATGCAGGGCTGCTTAACCCTGATCAATATATGCCATTATGCAACAGATCACTTTAATCACAGCATGTGCATTCTGTTTGTTTGCCTATTTTATTAGTTTCATGATTTAGAAAGCAAACAATTTTCTGATTCAACCTGTCAATATATGATAGGACATTTGCCGTCTGATCAGAATGCCAACTGGTGGTCATTTTGTTTCTAAAAATGTACAATAAAATTATTCAATTTTGGTGAAACTATTTAATATTACTTGGGTGATACAAATCAAAATAAATGACTGGTAGACGTGTCTTAAATTGTCTGAGACATAAAAGTATGGTTAATAATTGTGATTTTTTTCCAGGACCATTTCATACATTGCTCAGTTTTTAATTGCAAGAAATAACTGAGTTTGCATTGTTATAGTGTTTTGGCTGTCCATCAATTACCAATATTAATTTATTAGTATCATTTAACTAAACTATATATCATGAAGTGATATTTATGATTCAGCTGCACAGTTTAATTTTAATGTAAATCACATATGGGTTACTTGGTGTGGGCTGAATGCATACATGACGTACATTTGATCTTCCTACTAGGTTATAATCATCCAGCTCTAGTTGAAGCTATCCAGGATCCGGGTAACCTGGTGAGATTTGTTACTCAGTAAAAATACCTGAATGTTACTCTATTTATTACTAAGGCTTTATAATTGTATCAATGGATAACTCTCTGCTTGGGAGAACACTGCCATTTATGGTTAACCCTCTACTGAATACTTTGGGAAATACTACCCGTACCTATGTGGGTAACCCATCACTCCTATGTTGGTAACATCTTACCAAACACTTTGGAAAACACTACCTATATGGGTAACCCATCACCAATCACTGAACACTTTGGAAAACACTACCTGTATGGGTAACCCATCACCAATCACTGAACACTTTGGAAAACACTACCTGTATGGGTAACCCATCACCAATCACTGAACACTTTGGAAAACACTACCTGTATGGGGTAACTCATCACCAATCACTGAACACTTTGGAAAACACTACCTGTATGGGTAACCCATCACCAATCACTGAACACTTTGGAAAACACTACCTGTATGGGTAACCCATCACCAATCACTGAACACTTTGGAAAACACAACCTGTAATGGGTAACCCATCACCAATCACTGAACACTTTGGAAAACACTACCTGTATGGGTAACCCATCACCAATCACTGAACACTTTGGAAAACACTACCTGTATGGGTAACCCATCACCAATCACTAAACACTTTGGAAAACGCTACCTGTATGGGTAACCAATCACTGAACACTTTGGAAAACACTACCTGTATGGGTAACCCATCACCAATCACTGAACACTTTGGAAAACACTACCTGTATGGGTAACCAATCACTGAACACTTTGGAAAACACTACCTGTATGGGTAACCCATCACCAATCTCTGAACACTTTGGAAAACACTACCTGTATGGGTAACCCATCACCAATCACTCAACACTTTGGAAAACACTACCTGTATGGGTAACCCATCACCAATCACTGAACACTTTGAAAAATACTACCTGTATGGGTAACCCATCACCAATCACTGAACACTTTGGAAAACACTACCTGTATTGGTAACCCATCACCAATCACTGAACACTTTGGAAAACACTACCTGTATGGGTAACCCATCACCAATCTCTGAACACTTTGGAAAACACTACCTGTATGGGTAACCCACTCAATGAAAATTTTGGATAACACTACTTGTGTGGGTAACCCATCACTATACGCTTTAGAGAAAACTGCTTATGTGGGTAACCCCCTACTGAACACTTTGGAAATCCTTACTTATGTGGTAACGATTATTGAACACTTTGAAAATCACTACCCATGTGTGTAACCCATCACTAAACACTTACTAAAATATTACTATGCCACTGGGTATGTCTATGAAATTGTTCTTTAGAGAAAACATCTTCTGTGGGAAATCACTACTGTGCACTGGGTGTGTCAATAAAAATGCTCTCTGGGAATACTGCAATGCTTTTGAAATTTAATGATTTTTTTTAAGCATTATTATTATTATTATTATTAACAATTTTAGAATGCTGGTGCCTTATAGTCTTGCAATTGTGAGTCAAAATTGTCTCCTATATTTTCACCTTGACTTTGATATTTTCCAGAAAGGTACATTGGGTAGTTCTCTCTCAGATTTGGTCATTTTTTGACAATACATGTATCTGACTTCTTTGTGAAAATGGCTTGATTGGTTTCTTTTATATTTGATATTTAAGTAAATTGACTGGATCCCTCCCAGTGTTTTGCATTTTGTGACCAGAACTTCAATTCTCTAAATTTAGTGACTATTTGTCCATGTTCTTGAAAATAAACTAGTCTGATTGCTTTGACATTTGGGTGGTGCAAAAAGTGTAGTTACTTTTGTCATATAAAGTAATTAACCAAATTCAAATGTCCTGTAGTGTGTTATGCATGTAAATTCTAATTCATTTTACCATTCAGCAACCAATCCCATCATGCATTGGAGTTTTTGGTCTAAAGAATCATAATGGAAAAAGTTTCACATCATTTAGATATTGTGTTAAACTAAATCGTCTTCAGCTAGTTGCCATGGAAATCAAGCTTGTGTTTTGGTGATTGACTTGACAACTCCATACAAAACTCAATCACAAAATCTATAGATTTAGCTTTTGTTAAAATATAGGAGACAAAGCAACACTAACATTGTCCATCCAGTATGGATATAATGCTGAATTACGCTATTCTCACACAAATATTTATAAATTGATAGGGATTATCAAATTAGAATGTTCCAGTATGCCTTACATCAATGTTTAGGGAAGTTTGAGAATTGTAAACATGACCAGTATGGATGGTACAGTTGCATGTAATACTGGTACCTAATGTGTGTACGATTAGTTTTAGTCTCCATCATTTAATTAGATGATAATTAATTTTAATTTAATTAGGGAAGTTTGAGAATTGTAAACATGACCAGTATGGATGGTACAGTTGCATGTAATACTGGTACCTAATGTGTGTACGATTAGTTTTAGTCTCCATCATTTAATTAGATGATAATTAATTTTAATTGTTAGGTTAATTATTTTTTACATTGCTTTTCTCATCTAATATTTAATCACTTGTTCTCTTTTCAGAGTGTTTTTGTCAACAGACCAGCTTTAGGAGTACACCCTAATGAGGATTTCCCTGAACGACTTCAAAATGCTTTGATTTCAGTGAGTCTGATTTATATTAAAATTACATTCTTATATGCTGATAACCACTGTAACCCTTGCGTGTGTTAAGGAATATAGTGATCACCAGTGTGCACACAAAATCATATCGGAAACATTATAAACAAACTGAAAACGAGCATGTGTATTGTGTTTTGTTCTTTTTCCATCTGCATGTTATTTGTAAATGAACATTACCTGATTTTCATTTCATACTGCCCAATTATTAAATTAATTAAGCATATTTGCAGTTCCAGTATTTTTTTGCATATTATTTTGCTCACTTATCCACAAAAATGTTAAGATGACATCTAAGGGACAAGAAAAATCATTTGCTTTAGTCATGCATAGTTTAGATTGTATTGTTAATAAAACTTGTGCAACCTCTGATTATATATTCATCAATTTTTGTTTTAACAATAAAATGGACTGAACAAGCAGCTGGCTCAGTATTTTTTCCCCCTAAAAATGTTTGCTTGAATAATTAAAGTCTGGGTGGATATTTCAGAGTCTGTATTTGTCTTTTTATCATTAACTGAAGGATAAGTTATTGTTTTTGCATTTTCTGATTTTGAAATATTGTTTGTTTTTAGGTTGCTCCACCCGGATTGGAAAGGGTACAGACAATGGCATGTGGTGCTTGTTCTGTGGAAAATGCCATGAAACATGCATTTATATGGAAAAGAGTAAGTCATAGCATATAATAATTGTTAGATATTCCATTTGCTCTATTAGTAGTGTATACAATTGTAAATCACATACTGACGTGACGAATATTGTATTGATTCAGCACACAACAAATGCATTTTTTGTTGTTTATACATTGTATGTGCTTTTAATAAAACTGGTAGTCAAAATTGAGGTGTTTAGGACCAGCTACTAGGCCATGTGTGCCAACAAGATTAGGTTTAGTATAAGCATGATAGCATGCTTAGAACATTCCTGTCTTTATATTTTCAGAAGCAAGATCGTAATGGATTACAACCGACTGCTGAAGACTTGGATTCATGTCTTCGTAATGAGGTCATTTTATGTTCCATCTTTGAATTTACATACATGATGTAATAACTGAAATAATCCACTCACATTATAAATGAAATATATGTAAAGTGGCTGGTTTGATAATATATATTGAATATAACTGTCCCAATAACGACGTCAAGTTACACATTAATGAATGCATATTGTAAAATCACTCTCTACTAGTATGAAAATTTTCTATCAATCTAACTGCAACAATGATGAGATTCCATCACAATTTATGTGAAAAATAATTAAACTTCCTGTAGATTTTGTTCTAAGTTATTTTATAATTTGTTTCCAACAGAGTCCTGGAAGTCCACCATATACTATATTGTCATTTGTTGGTGCATTTCATGGTAGAAGTTGTGGTAATTTAACTTATTTTTTAAATTGACTTTGTTTAGTTATCATGTAATTTACCTCTTAATTGATACACATGATTCAGAATGTATTTTAAGTTACAGGCACAATAATTCTTTGTGCCAAATATGCTTAAGGGTACAGTCGTGTTTAGGATCTTAATTATATAATATGTAATGTATTTTGTATTCTTTGCTGACAGGTGCCCTTTCTTGCTCACATTCTAAGGCTGTTCATAAAGTAGATATCGCTGCATTTGATTGGCCAATTGCTCCATTCCCACAATTGAAATATCCACTTGAGCGCTATGAACAAGAGAATAGGGCCAATGAACTGAGATGTTTGGATGAGGTAAGATTGTTGTATGGTAAATGGGCGCAAAAGTGCCTATTAGAAGGGGAGAGGGGTTGTAATTTAGAAATTGTTAACATTTGCTTCCCACATCAAATCTGCATCAATTATTTAATTATTTTAACTTCTTCTTAAATATCTCAATAAAACTGTCAAGGTTTTGTTTATATAATTTATGAAATGATTTCATTTATATCTAAGGTTGTCAAATTAATTACGGATTACAATAGCAGAGGACGTAAAGTGGCTGGTTTGATAATTGAACCAATACAAGCAGAGGGCGGAGATAACCATGCAACTAAGTTCTTTTTTCAAAAATTAAGGGAAATCTGTGACCAGGTGAGTATTCTATGTAAAAATTAAAGATCCACAATCATCAAAATGCTCATGTTTGAGATGGGTCTCATATGCCAAATATACAAAGTATGTAAAAAACAATATCTGTTTTCACCAATTCTAAATGCCAATTCTGCAGACTAATTGATTGTGGTGATTTTATAATTAGATTTTTGTTTTATTGTTATTATTGTTTGATTAACACATTTTATTTTAATATTTTAAGTTCAAGGTAGCTTTCATAGTGGATGAGGTACAGACTGGTTGTGCAGCAAGTGGTAAATTCTGGGCCCATGAACTATGGGAGTTACCCTCACCACCGGATATTGTATGTTTTAGTAAGAAGATGTTGACTGGTGGTTATTACTTTAAAGATGAATTTATTGTTCAAGGAGTAAGACGTCATTTTTGTTATTAAAAAAGCAGTGTGAACCAGTATTATGAGATGTATGTGTGAGTGGGTAATTCATTGGTATATCAAGATTCCAGTTCAATACTGGTGAGAATTCCAGATGGTTTATTTGGTGTAAGCTTATACTGTAAAACTATTTATTATCACTGACATTTAATTTCACATTTTTGATGTTTTGAGCATATTCACTGTGTTTTAATTTCACGAATTTGTCAAGAAAACAATGAGTTTTATTGTTATTTTACATGTTCATATAGTCTTAATTTAGCGGATTTTATCTGTCAGCGAAAATAGCGAAATTAAAACCCAGTGAATAATTAATGCATTTACAGTAGTCGGTTTAGTAGGATTAAAGTTACTCATAGCTGTACTTAATCTCAGTGAATTTAGGTGATTTTAAAATGTTAAGTGCAACTATCATTGCTTATGAAGTCTATGTCAGTGTCTTTGGTTACCAGCAATCTACTTTCATTCAAATTGTAGATAAATTATATGTTTATTTTCTAGGCACATCGTATTTTTAATACCTGGATGGGAGATCCAAGTAAAATAATATTGCTGGAGAAAGTTGTTGAAGTTATTCAGAATAATGATTTAGTACAGAATGTTAAAGAAACTGGTGACTACCTTCTACACAAACTTGAAGGTTTACAGGTATGTAAATATAAAGATGTTAGTATGTGAATTTCACATGCATGATAATCTATTTCCTCGTGCAAAGAAAGATTTGTTGTACACTAAGCATGGTATTTTCATTTCTTGCAACATCTGAGATGTTTTTGTCTCATTGTATGCTTTTTGAAACAGGTATTTAGGGTTAAATGCCTCCATCCAACACTTTCTTTTTTGACATGCCAGAAATGATTTTGCGCAAAGACAGAGACATTTTGTGACCATTTTTGTCCTGAAAATCAAGATGTCATGAACTTTTTCTTTGGCATGCCTGAACAGATTTCATTCTACTTGGTATTGACATCACTCAGTATGTTTAGCCAGTGATGAACATGCTCTTCGTTTTGATTCAAAATGGTTGATGGGAAGTGGGGGGGGGGGGCAAAGGTTATTTTCGTTCAATGTGATATTTTTTTGTTCGTACAACGTAAATTGCAAAAATAAATTCCGTAATTCTGTAATCACAGGCTAGACGTACAATGTAATCAATCAAATATTTTTTTCGTACACTGTAAAAATGTGTCATTTTTCTCGTAAAGAATAATCCAAGGAAATTACATTTTCAAAACTGTAAAACGACGATAGGACACAATACACTCCAAAATTCAATTTTCACTGTAAACTGTAAAAACTTCTTTTTTTTCCTTGTAAATTGTAAAGAGCCTTTTCTATTTCCCGTAAAACTGTACCAGCTACCCCCCTTGTCCCCCCCCCTCTGAAGTGTCCTTACCCATTTCTCTGACATTCTCTGACTGATATTTTTACTCTGCCTATATGTGTGTATGTATACAAGTAATGTGTGTATGTTTCACCAAGGCAATTATTGAATTTCAATTTTTAGGCTCTGTGATATTGCATATTAATTTGCATATTAATAAGCTAATTTTCATCTGTTTCACCAGATTAGGTTAGCATAATTTGCATAAACTAGACAAGTGTTCTAAGAACCACTCTTCAGATTTTGATGAAGTATGGTGCGTAGGTGCTCTAGAATAATTTACTGACCTGAGTAGTTTTTTGGGTGTAATCTGTTCATATTAATTACCTTATTTGCATAATGAAGTAGTAATAATTGAAAATGATTATTAGACAATTTTCAATTTATTCCTTTTCTGATATCCAATGTATTTGTTAGTATTGTCAACACTTTGGATCAGATTGCTTTCAGATTGGGCATCACAAAGTTCAGAGCTATTTCAGCACACATGCATTATGTGTAGTACATGTTAAATTATATCTACCCGTAATTGGTTCCTATAATACTGCAGCACATGGGGGTTCTCTCTAAGCTTTTTTTATTTGGTACAAATGCAAGATACAGAGGATTTCCGAAGTCAACGTGATATTGAATTTATCATTAATCTTCCAAGTTTGATTTTAATGAATATTGTATTTCATGGTCATGAATTGGAGATTTTATTTTATAATGGTTTTTGTGTGAGCATGTCATAGTATTCTTAGCCCATTCTGTATTCATTTTGCATATTGAAATACAGTTCCTCAAATACAATTTACCGACAAATTATAACTGCCACTAACAATTTTGGATCTTTTTTGGGAGGGTCAATATATTTGCTGTTACAACATATAAATAGGGACATATTGATAACATTTTACTAAGTTTGGAAGTAATTCTATCAGCAAATTTCACACATTTTTAAAAAATTCAGCAATCAGTACAACTAATTCTGTGCACTGCTAAGTTGGGGTTAGAAGAATAAGAAATGGTAAGGTCATTGTGACTTTAGCACCGGGACACACACTGGTGAATTACCGATATATTGTGGAAACATTGATATTTACCGTATTTCAAATTATATTTAAAATTGTTAAGTTATCAAATGAGACATGTTTTGTTATTTTTTGAGATGACATCACAATTTTGAGTACACCAATCAGATCATCAGACTGTTGAATATCAAGCGTGGGAATTCAAAAATATCAAATGGCTAGAGGTGCTGGGATTTGTCTTTCAGGATAAATGTCCTACTATGTTCAGTAACACTAGAGATGTTGGGATTTGTCTTTCAGGATAAATGTCCTATTATGTTCAGTAATGCTAGAGATGTTGCGATTTGTCTTTCAGGATAAATGTCCTACTATGTTCAGTAATGCTAGAGATGTTGTGATTTGTCTTTCAGAATAAATGTCCTACTATGTTCAGTAATGCTAGAGATGTTGGGATTTGTCTTTCAGGATAAATGTCCTACTATGTTCAGTAATGCTGGAGATGTTGGGATTTGTCTTTCAGGATAAATGTCCTTATATGTTCAGTAATGCTAGAGATGTTGCAATTTGCCTTTCAGGATAAATGTCCTACTATGTTCAGTAATGCTGAGATGTTGGGATTTGTCTTTCAGGATAAATGTCCTACTATGTTCAGTAATGCTAGAGATGTTGTGATTTGTCTTTCAGAATAAATGTCCTACTATGTTCAGTAATGCTGAGATGTTGGGATTTGTCTTTCAGGATAAATGTCCTACTATGTTCAGTAATGCTAGAGATGTTGCAATTTGCCTTTCAGGATAAATGTCCTACTATGTTCAGTAATGCTGAGATGTTGGGATTTGTCTTTCAGGATAAATGTCCTTATATGTTCAGTAATGCTAGAGATGTTGCAATTTGCCTTTCAGGATAAATGTCCTACTATGTTCAGTAATGCTGAGATGTTGGGATTTGTCTTTCAGGATAAATGTCCTTATATGTTCAGTAATGCTAGAAGTGTTGGGATTTGTCTTTTAGGATAAATGTCCTTATATGTTCAGTAATGCTAGAGATGTTGGGATTTGTCTTTCAGAATAAATGTCCTACTATGTTCAGTAATGCTAGAGGTGTTGGGATTTGTCTTTCAGGATAAATGTCCTACTATGTTCAGTAATGCTAGAGATGTTGCAATTTGTCTTTCAGAATAAATGTCCTACTATGTTCAGTAATGCTAGAGATGTTGCAATTTGCCTTTCAGGATAAATGTCCTAGTATGTTCAGTAATGCCAGAGGTGCTGGCACGTTTTGTGCAATTGATGTCAGAGATGGTGCCACTTTACTGGAGATAGTAGAAAAAATGAGGAATAAAGGTGAGTATAGCCAATAACAATATCATAAATTTAAGTTGGATAAAGCTTCACAATTTTTATGAAAAAAAAAGTGAAACTGTATTGTATTTTTATGCATATTTTTCTATTACATAGATTTCACGTCGGATTCATCTATTCATTTGCATATTAATTAACTGATTTTAAGCATTTTCACTTGTTTCTCAGGTACCATTAGACAGATTTCAATGAAACTTGGTATATCCATCTTCTGGGATAATACACAGTAGTACAGATTAGCTTTGGTTAAAATCCTTTGCATAATAATTATCTAATTTGCATATTGATTAGAAAATTTTAATCATTTTCACTTCTTATATACCATCAAACAGGTTTCAATGAAACTTAGTACATAGATGTTCTGTAATAATGCACTGTTCTTATTAGTTTTTGGATGAATTAATTTGCAAAATAATTAGCCAATTTTAGGCATTTTCACTTGTTTCTCAATTACCATTCAACAGATTTGAATGAAACATGGCACATAATACGCAAACCTGATTAGTTTTTGGTTGATATACATGTATATTAATGACCTAATTTGCATATAAATTAGCCAATATTAAATTTTTAACCAATATCTCAACCACCCATCAGATTCAATGATACTTAGGTACATACACATGTAGATGCTTATGGATAAGCCATATACATGTTCAGTTTAGGGTTGAATTTTTTGCTTACAAATTACCAAATTTGCACAAATTAACAAATTTATAGGTGATTTTAGATGATTACTTCAGGGTTGATAACTGTGCATATCAATAACTTGTTATTAGTTT